AAAGCCTCGAGCTTAAAGTTGGCCAGAGGAGAAGGAGCTCTCAAGTCTTTGCTTGTGGCCAACTCTTAGGATTTGAGCAATTGGGGCTGATGACTCTGGCTTCATTGTATTCTGCCTTCGGCACACTGCTGTAATGAAGTAGTCGTAGGAGTAGTAATAAAAAGCATGCCCCTTGTTGATCCAGGAAAATCTCATTGGGTTCCAAGGCATCTCGTTTCAGGAGGGTCCTGCAAATGGCGTGTTAATTAGCCTTTGGCTTGTGGTAGCTGCCCGCCAAGTGCCTGATGAAAACCAACTCGTACAAGGGAGAAAGCACTCAAGAGTTCCGTACAGTTTCATTACATCCACTTTTGCTGTACTGCCATCTGGGAATCTCACAAATCTCCACGTGATCCGCCAGCCCTCGCCTCTTCAACCGTTGAATCACAGACACGCATTAATGTAATCATTACTGCGTTAAAAAAACCGAAAACTACACTTTGTATTATATAAGGACGAGTTAATGTATTCAATCACTTGGGACTATTTGCACCAAGGCCTTTTTTAGATACCGCACGGGAAAAGTAGTGCGCCCTGCTCCTGAAGGCGAACAACGCACATGGCTTGCAGCATATTTACAGCGTACGTAGGCGCTCAACGTATAACAACGTGGCCTCTGTGGGAGGGAAACATGTAAGGAATTGCGCCAAATTGCCTATCCGGCGCAGACACGCGCTGATGGCAGTTGGCGACCTGTCAGGCAGGCTGGTAGCATTTGTTGGATTGTGGTTCCACTCTGGCATTGGAAAAGGTCCTCAAACAGCTTTCTAAATTGGCTCCGGAAATAACTCAAGCCACGGCCGGCCTTCAAAACGTGCTGTACATTGCCAGATGACAAAATCACCAGCAGTGTCCCAATTTTATCAGACCTCAGAATCTAAGCTGACCTAATCCTGGATAGTGCGTGAATGGGTGACCTCCGTTCGTAACAAAGTTGTTATAGGCTCGCGTAATGACGTATGGCGTATGATTAAATAACGCCCACGACACACGTTGCCGTGGGGAAGCCCTCATCCAGCAGTGGATTGAGAAAGGGCTCAGCGTGCACACATGGCGTGTAGCGATTCTCAACTTCCCCCGGCAATTGTATTCATTGTTACGATTCTTGACTCTTGCAATTCGATTCAAGAATAAATTATTTTTCATCCAATTTTTACCCTCTCGTTGGTATTCATTGCTTGTTTATTATTATTGTTGTTTATTATTCCTCTGTACAGTTTAGGCTAATGTATTGTTACATGCCTGGTTGACATACGTCTGGAAGACTGATTTGACTTTAAAGAAAAATCTCAGATTTTTCCGTGGAACAGCAAATCGATTTATTATTTTACCTGTCACCAATAATGCTCGAAGGCACCCGTGGCTTTGAGCAAGTACGCTAGTTAGAGACATTGTTAAGTAAAGTGAGTGTGTTTGGGCAGGACTTGTCATGGCGTGCAGGGATGGTGTGGTGGCCAGTGGTAGAGCCCAACCAGGGGTGGCCACCAGGGCGAGGAAACGCGCCTGAGAGGACGTCCACCATGGAGAATCGGCTGGCGTGCAGGTCCTCTAGATGGGACGCTCCTCGGGCCGGGCCCTGTGAGCTCAACCTAGGATGTTTCATTCTACGCTGGGCGGTAGTGGTCGCAGTCGGGGCCTTCTCGAGCCTGGTGCCTCAGATGTGGAGAACTCTGTTCCGCCGGCCCTCAGATTGACTCCGAGCACCGAACAGTTCAAGACTTTTTTTTCTTTTAGTTTTTCCTTGAGTCCGTCCTCTCATTTTGATATGTTTACATGTGTCTTGATTTTATAGGTAGGAGGACTACCTTCGTTTAATGCATCCTGTAAAGTATTGCGATGCTCTCTTTAGTGGGGGCGAGTTTTTACTAAAGAAAAAAAACATTGAATGAATGAATGAATGTTACATCACGGGACCGTGAGAGATTAAAACCCTTTAACCAGCAGTGGATAGATCATGGCTGATGATGACGATGGAATGCTCGACGACTAGCACTCGCCGAAGAGTGGAGCGCGTCGCGTTGTTTATGTTGCATCGTCGTCGTTATTCGGCCAGGATGGCAGCAATGGCTGTGTACGGGCCGTGCAAGGCACAGCGTGCCAAATGGCTGTGGGCCGCGTGTATCCGCTATGCTCACGATGTCTGTTATCAGTTCTCTGCCCACCCACTGGCTCGTTTGCCAGTGACCGCTATTCAGCCTCTGCTCCTGCTGAGATCACGGGGAACGTCTTGGATCATACAAACAATTTATTTATTCATTTCTAAAAAACCCTTCCAACTAATTCTTAAAACTGCTCGTCTTTGATGGAGGTTTAAAAAAAATTGTTGCACGTTCATAACGATTTTAATCATAATACAATGCCCTTTTCATCCACCGCTCGATGAGGGTGCTCCCCAACAAGTGCCGTTTCTGCTCTAGCATTGGCACAAGCGTTGGGTGTCTCGTGATGTCCCGTGTGGGTGTGCGCGTCCCTTGTGGGTGCGTACGGCTATGACGGACACATGAGTCCCGCGCGCACAATAGCGGGAAAATAACCATGGCGTCACCAAAAAACAGCTGTCGGCTTTAGGCCCGCGGATGCGCTTAAGTGCTCTGTGTTTGCATTGCCCCTGGTTTTTTGTCTTAATTCATCAGTGCCCATCGTGTACAATGTAAACTGCGCCCTATCTGGAAACCGCTAATCTTTGTGCATGAGTGCCTGCCTGCTTGATGGCGCACTTGTTTAGTCGATGTAAAGATTGGATAAAGGGGAGTGGCATTTTTGGTATTCCTTCGGACTAAATCCAGTTGATTTGTCTGCAAAATTTTAGCGCGTTATAAATGGCATTATTCTTGGTTGTAAATGGTCAAATACCACTCGGTCAGCTGGCCCTTGGTTGGCAAATTCTTAACCGAAGACAGTCGGTGTCGCGTGTGTACATCAGGACCTACACCCCTCCACCGACCCCTTACGCCTCCCCCTCCCGCCACTCTTCGGGGTGGAGGGGGGGGGGGAGCTCGTGGTGGGGGAAATCGGACACGGGCATTACGGCTACGTCGTCACAGGGGATTTGTTTTGACAGCGAGCCCGCTGGCGCTGGCCCGACCTGGCTCAGCTCGCCAACGTGGACGGGACACACACGCGCATCAGCTGCTGCTTTCGTTAGACAAACCCCTTTCAGGCCGGCGGCGCCTTTGCCAGATGTCCGCTCCGTCCATCGGACCGTCGGTCGGTCGTCAGTCCATCAGCCTGTCTGACCGTCAGTTTGCCTGTCTGGCTTTTCAGCAGTACGTCAGCCCATTCGTGTGTCCATCGGTCAGTCTGTCCGTCAGTGTGTCTATCTAACCGTTCATCAGTAAATCAGTCAGCCCGTTCGTTTGTCCGTCAATCGATCAGTCATTCGGTCCGTCGGTCAGTCTGTCTGTGTGTTCAGCGGTGAATCAGCCCATTCGTGTGTCCATCGGTATGTCCGTCAGTTATGTCCAGTCTGTCTGTCCGTCACTCAGTCCTGTCCGTCCATGCGTCAGTAAACTCAGTTTATCGGTCAATCCGTTCATCCGTCGGTCGGTCCATAGCCCGTCGGTCCGTCCGTGAGTCCAGTCCAGTCTGACCAAACCTGCACGTGCCTGTCAACAGCGAGTGTTTGCTTGACCTCGTCCATCCGTCAATCGCCCGCCGCCCCGTGCTCAAATTTAAATTGGCTTCGGCCCTGGGCTTTCCAGCGAAAACAACTGAGGCCACTCTCCACCGTTAAGCTGAGTCAACAAACTGTGCACGTGCTTTTTCTAAAGTTTACCTCGTCTCCTTCCCGTATTTCCATGACAATTAGCCGTGGTCCGTGAGGACTTTTATTTACCCCCCCCCTCCAGCCCCCCACCCCCCTGCCTTCTCTTCTCCCAGCACAGCGTTATTAGACTTAAACAAGCACTTTGGTTCAATTAGCACGTGCTGTAATGAGCTCCTCAAGGCATTACGGACGAAGGCTAATGTACGTGTATTGTATAAATACACGTAAATGAGCTCCGCAAGTGGGCCGATGGTAAACAGCGGATCGTTCTGGTTTTTAGCGTTTTGCCCAAGGCGGAGTGTGTGCCACGCTGTGGCTTCCAATTTAAAAACGTACAGACGCGTGCCGATTGTCATTATTAAAGTACACATGTCGATTGTGATTATAAACGTACACAGGTCGATTGTCATTATAAACGTACACATGTCGATTGTGATTATAAACGTACACATGTCAATTGTGATTATAAACGTACACATGTCAATTGTCATTATAAACGTACAGACGCGTCGATTGTCATTATAAACGTACACGCGCTCCGATTGTTGTTAACGGGATGCGTTTAAGCTTCACGGCGCATGGTGGGTTCATCTTGTTCTTGTTAATGTCATCGTTTGGACGTATTTATTGGTGCGCTTGGAGTACTCACTATATGCAATTAACGTTCACGTTCCAATTAGAGCCTTTGTTGTTGCTATAAAAGTCAAGGTCCGTACGAGCTCGGAAGGATCCACTCATCTCCATTGGCAGCGGTCCAGGGCCAGTCGTGAACATTTTACACATTCCCAGAGATGGCCTCAGTCTCTCCCTAGGGAGACCTCTGTCGGCTTCCCACATAACGGCAATTAATTTTCCCGTTTTATCGTCTCGGAAGCTAAGCAGGTTCGAGCCTGGATTGCTCGAGGGTGCGTGGCTACTCTCGTCGGATGGAACAGGGCTGCTGCGGGCCTGCACTGGGGACAGCAATGGGTAGTGCACCAAAAAACATTCTTGTACTGCTCCCCAGCCTCCCCGCCTATATCAAAAACAAACTGACTTACACGGTGAGGTATGGTCAAATAACCCCCATGAATCAAAAGGCGTGGGGATGCCTTAGTTCAGCAGGGGGCGGGGGGTTTGATCGTGGCTGCCGATAACCTGATCCGTAATTGTGACGACGACGAGGATGACGATGTTCCATTTGCTTGACCTGCAGGCCGGAGGGAGCAGTTGCTGCGGAGGATGCGGGTGACCGATTGGAGGGAGCTGCATCCGCTGGTGACCAATTGGTGCCCAGGTGCCTCCCGGAGAACTCCTCCCACGTTCAGGCGCCTCCCGTGTACGTCACCTCGCACGCTCACAGCACGGTCGTTGGGAATGCCGCGCACGCACGCGCACTCACACATTATCCCCCATTGGTAAGCTTCGTTTTTGCTGCCACAGGTATGCAGGCGGTGGGAACAACCAGACTCAAACCTGCTGAGCTTATGAGATCCGACGAGATCTGGAACATTCCCCGGGTGATTTTTGTAATGGGCATTCGGAGAGGTTAGTCTCTTCGAAATCACTGCCGGGGTGGTTGGCTCAGCCCGTCATCGCCGTCGTGGAGTCGATTCCATGACATCAACAATGGATCTCGCTGTGGTTGGACATTGTCAGTCGCTCCTTGGGGTTCCTTTTCCTACCTGCCGTCGAGAACAAATTGGCTGCAATTTAATGGAGGTAACAACCGGGAAGCCGAAACGATCTCCACATTTGTTTCAACAGGAGTTTGGCATTTAAGATAACTTGCCCTTAACCCTCCATATTTTTCTTTTTTTTTCTTTACCCGACCACCCACTTCGCCCCCAGTTGAACCGATCGCGGCGTTTCGCCCCGGGGGCGGGCGGGCGAGCGAGCGGGCGATCGTTTTTTTGCGCGGGACTCCGCGGCGACGTCCTCCTTGTTCGCCCGGCACGGCAGATGTGGCCCCCCTTTCAGAATTGCCCCCCGCAGAGTTGGGGCTGAGGTGGGGTGGTGTGCGGGGGTGGGGGGGAACAGCGGTGGCCGAGCTGAAAACCGCCGGGAATCGGCGTGGCCACGGGCACCGCCCGCTGCCATCGGTCACCGGCGGGGTGGGTTGGGGGGGACTGCCGCCGGCTCGCTCGGCAGCCGCCGACGTGAACGTTATTACGGTGAAGTGTGGTCAAATTTGGATCGACTCTCTGCCATGCGAATGAAGAGGCGTGGCTTTCAGCATCGACGGTTTGGGGGGCGGGGGGACGAGTGGTTGGGGTGTGCCACCCGATCTTGTTCAAGCTTCTCCGGGTGCATACTCTTTGGTTCTATTCGGTAAAGTCACGAATAGAACCAAAGAGTATGGATCCTTGCAGTCACGAAAGCTTCAAATTTAGAATATTCTCCGGGTGGTTGTGGTGTTCAATAGAGAGGTCGAGTGTGTGTGTGTCGGTGCTCTCATATGTGTACTTGTGTACGTACTTATATAACAGAAATCTCTATGCCAAGTGCATAGACTATACTGTATATATATACTATTATTGTATTACACTTGGAGATAGAAAGAAAATCATACAGATTGGGAAGGAAATGGAAATTGGGGACATGGTAAGCAAGTGGGTTTAATGGACCATGGGCGAGTCTGGTCACAGAATGGCAGCCGAAGGAGGCAATGCGCGCCCAAGAGATGCGATTAGATCCACAGTCATACAGAAACAAGATGGATAGCGGCATTGCAATTCCGCGTGGGGTGGTGACAGTGTGGGGCGGCAGTGGATAAAGCATCGCTGGTAATGGTGATCGTGATGTTGATAATGTCTAAGGTGATTTTGGGGATTCGAAAGTAACATTGTACATAGACTCGCCGCCCCTTTGTCCCTGTTGTGACTATTTTACAAAAGTTACCTGGGTATGCGACTTTCAATGTCATCTTAAGCAATGCATCGGTATTGACAGACTTGTGTCATCTTAGCCGAAGGAGCTGTAAGTATGATTTTCGTTGCTTAGACTTTGCTGAGCGGCATCGCGTGAGCTGAACATCGTCGCGTTGGCGACAACCATCGCGATGCCGTGCGCGCGCCAGCGGCGTTGCTTTCTCGCGAAGCTAGCGGCCTCGCGAGCGCTCTACGCGCTACGTGCACCACGCATTATTTACTCGTGGAACGCTCTCTCCCCCCGGAGCTCTCGCCAGCCGGTGACAAGATCGATGGCTGTGGACGGGAATCCGAGATTGACCGGTGGCGGCTCAGGGCCGAGGGCCGCGGCTCGTTGTGGCACGGCCGAGGCCACCCGGCCGGACCGTCCTCGCGTTGCCGGGCGTGCCAGGCGTGCCAGGCGCGCCGGGCAAGGGGGAGCGATTCCGAGCGTCGATGCTCTGTGACGGTAGCTGGATTGATGGCCTTGGCTGCTCCGTCCGTCCGTCCGCCGCTTGATTTTGTTGCCTCGTCACGTCTGCGTTCGCACTTGAGCCGAGGGGAGAGAGGGGCTCCGTTTGGAAGGCGTGACGCCGGCGTGGCAGATGGCCCGAGACTTCGAGCGATTACCCGACTTCATTCATTTTTCACCGCGCGCTTCATTTCAACTTTTTCGAGGGGAATGTTCTGCTGAGAAAGGGGCACAACTGCAGATGCAGCCATCTGTCTCCGCTGGAGCAGGTGGTATTGCTGCATTTTTTAATCATGTCATTATAATTTTATCTTACAATTCTATTCCGTGTTATTCCAGTGGTGGATGGGAATGCTTTATTATCTAAAGAATATATACAGTATTTTTTTTACCAACAAATGTGAAATGCTGTAACATGCTGGGAGAGCAAAATTACACTTTAATAACCTGGACTATATGTTATCAGCTTTTTCCAGATTGTTCACTGCGTACTTTTCTTCAAATTAAAAATTTTACATTCACCTCCGCTCTCCTCTGTTAATGATGGATTGTAATTGCGTGATCGTGCAGATGAAGAGGGAAATTAATTGTGGTGCAGGTGTGTTTTCTTTATCAGGTGAAACAGCTGCTTGTAGACTCAATCTGTTGGCAGTGCAGTCTCTCCCGATATGTGCAACACGAGAGATTTGGAAGGCATCAGTCTGCCTGCAGTCGTGCAACCCGTCCTGCACACAAGTCAAGCTGGCACCGTTTGTCATGTGAATTTGGGGTATTACAAACGGATAACAATTTCACATTGGTGGCCATCGAACTTGAATTTCAAACACAAAGCAGGCAATTATTTTCCGTGGGCAAAAGCAGGGGTAGAGAAAGAGCAGAGAGGCAATTAAAATACTACGCTTCGACTTTATACATGATATTTGTGCCCATAACGCATTTCAGCAACGTGGGCTATTGCTTTGTCGATTAATATTGATTCCTATGGTTGCGGTACATGCATCATATCTTGATTGTAACCTGCTAATTGAAACAGCGGGGAAAGATCCTTACATTGCCTCAACTCTGTCCACCCAGCTGCGTAAACAGGTGCGCCGCAGTTAGTCGTTAGGCAGGACGCGTGTGGTGGGATGGAAAGTCGTGGTTAACCCCCGCCACTTCTGAGACGGCTGGCGTAGGAGAGTAAGCAATGCACAAATCCCTGTCGAGGGGATCTCCGGGGCTCTTATCGAGTGGAGGAGCTTCCGCCGTGAGTGGCGTTAAGAGAAGAATTGACGGGCTGTGCCTTCACTCTTTATGACGCCGTAACATTAAAATGTCTTCTTAAATTTGAATTGGGACGACGAGTTGCGACCGTTCGTGGAATCGGGGCGGTTGTGAATCGGTGAATCCGGTGCTGCTGCACCAGCTGGGCAGGACGGCAGTTAACAGACATCCTTCGGAAATGCCTGTGGGCTATGTTCGTCATTCTCGAGGATGCACCATAAGCGCGTCTTCGTTGCGGTTTTCCGGATATGCCTGACCACGTGGTGAGCTGCAGATGCTTAAATTCAGCAAATACATTCCCCCAGCTTGAGTACGTGGAAAAATGCTGAGTCTCCACAGCTCACTGGCACTGACGGATGACTGTGAGTTCAGAGAAGGGTAGTTGCTCATTGTGCTTCTAATAATTTACTGCTGCCATCCACATGGCTAAACAGTTGCCTTTTATTTTTAGCCTTTTGAAGCACGATTTATTCAATTGAGAAAAATATTTAGTGGGATATTGAGTTACTTGAACAGCACGCTTGATGATGTTTTTAACAAAGAAGAAGAAGAAAAAAAGCACGAGTTATTTCCAATATGTACTTCAGTTTCAAAGTTAAAAATGTGTCGAGACTGGTTACGTACTTTTTAAATTCATCAACAGTGTTGTCACTTGAATGCAGTCGGTCATGGGATCTCATGACCGACTGCATTCTGGGTGAAATGAGGGAGTTCCTGTCGCACCCTATCCTAATAGCGTGCGGTTTTAGATGCTGAACGTTCCACGTGGACTGCTGTCACCTACATTGTGGCGGCTGTATTAGGAGTGTTTGCGGTTGCATTTATAGACCGTTGAAATGCAGCTGCATCTCGCCATGCTGTGCAGAACAGTGGACATTTTATCGGGAGAAAGAGTCATTCAGTCAAAGGCAGAGGGGGGAAAAGGCATGTCTTGAATAGGGGTGGGGAATTGACAGCATGGACGGCTGGGGGAAAGCAGCAGAGGAGAATGAGCGACCTCCCACTAAGCAAAAGTGGCCTGGGAAATGTTACAGAAAGCCTTGGTTGCTGGAGCGGAGAATGCATGGAGGGGAGTAGAGTGAGATGAGGAGAGAGAGAGATAGGAGAGCGCATGGAGGTGAGGAGAGTGAGATGAGCGGTAGGAGAGTATTTGGAGGGAAGGAGTTCAAGATGAGAAGGGAGAGAGGTAGGCAGGGGACGGGTGCTTGGAGGAAATTGAATATGCTGATTAGTCCAATCTTGAAAGTTGTTTTGGGCTGGATTTAGTGCCAGTGGGAAATACGATGTGAGTATTGCAGTGATGAGGTCACGTTTACGAGTGAGTTTAGAGATGAGGGATTTGGGACGAGCGTGAAGGAGATCATTTGCTGTCGTCCAGTCGGGATGTGATGAGCTCAGGTCTCTAGGTTCATAGTACGACACGCTACCCAACAGCAACATGTATTCTAATTGTTAAACATACGTTGTTAGAAAGCATTTGGAATGCAGGTATTGTGAGCTTGAAAAATCGATAATTATAATCAATGAATGGATGTGCCATTATTCCCTCGAGTGTGAGCTTCCCAGCGAAATAAAGGGTAAACTTTAAAATCTGGCTCCTGGTACTTGTATAACTTACGCTAGGTCATAAAGTTTAAAACCGGCGAGACGTTCCCACCGTTTCTTTGTCTGCTTTTTTTTTCTCCACGGAAGTGT